GAGCTGGCGTTCGAGAGGGCCTTCAACGGCCATAAGAATGGGAGAGCCGAGAACCAAGCTAGACAACTCGTCCAGAAGCTCACGGGCACGGAGCGCCGCACGCTGCAGACCCACCTGGAGCTCTACAACAAGGCGAAGCTGTTCGACGAGAAGGCTGTGGCGAAGGTGCCAGACGGGGAGCTGATGGCCTCATGGGAAGTCCTACGAAAAGCAGGCGCCACGCTCACGCAACGGGCTGTGAAGGCATTGGCCAGGAGGACTGCCATGAACGCTTGGCAGGACATCAACAAGGCCGACCTGGACACGGACAAGATGAAGCAGTTGCTGGTCGGTTTCATGGAGCGGTGTCGGCCGTGGGGCTTCACCGCCAAACCTCGGGATGTGGCGAACCCGTGTGCAGTGTGCTTGGTCGATGGGTGCACGTCCGACGCCGACGTCGCGAACACCTTCCTGGAGATCGCCGTCGCAGACACCCTCGCAGAGTGGCTCACGGCAGGCCCCAGCGCGGCTGACAACGTCAAGCTCTACTGCGAGGCAGCGGACCTCGTCCTCGCATCATTGCCCGAAGACGCGGAGCTCGGCGACCACTCAGCTTCAGTTTACCTCGAGATGACTTCGGCGATCCGAGTGCTGACAGCGATGCAGGCGACGTCCTTGACAGCGGACACTGACATGCAGGTGTACGTGGGCGCAGGGCGCTTGGAAGCTGAGGGCCGACGCACCACTGGACAGCAGAGCGTGCATCAGCTCGTGGGCCAGGCGCTCCTGACGAGCGCCAACGACTTCTGGGCTAAGAAGTTGAAGTGGATGGCGGAGCACGCAGATGCAGTCACGAAGAACGGCGGCCATGTGAAGTCGGCCATCGCCGAGCTGGAGCGGATGGACGCTAACCCGTCGGAGCAGCGTGCCAAGCTGCTCAAGCGCATCGTGGACGACGTACCGTACTGGGAGGCCGCCATGTACACGGGCTGCGCTGACGAGTGCAAGGCCATGGTCCTCAACAGCTCCATTTTGCAGTGCAAGGCGCTCACTTCTGATGGCGAGGTTCGGGGGGGGTGCAATACGCCCACTTGCACTCCTATGTCCAACCCCCGTCGGTGTGTCTAAGGGGTACCAGTAGCTAGGACTAGCGACTACTGACTAACAGCTAGTAGTGCACACCGATAGGGTTGGACGTGGGAGCGCAGGTGGGCCCATTGCCCCACCCCATAGGGCAACGGCGACATCGGCACGGAGGGCGGCGCCCAGACGACGGCGGTGACGATCGCTTACAAGGAGTTGTTCAAGGACTTGTCCAACGTGTTCGCGGCGGACGAGCAAGTGGAGCGCTGCTCTCGTGCGCTCCAGTCCAAGATAGCGGCCATGGACCTCGGCGTGAAGCACGAGATGTTAGCAGATGCGTTGGCCACGTGGAATGATGGTGATAAGGAGTTGACTCACCGTCTGAAGGATGCGTTACACAGCTGTCGCATGAAGGCCCTGCCCGAGAAGCTGCAGGAGTCGTGCAACTCGTTGTTCACCTCCATCATTGTCGACCTCTTCAAGGACGGGGCCGACTGGACTACGAAAGAAGGCTTCCTGTTTGAAGTCTTGGAGCTCTTAGCGCCGAACGTGCCGTGTTCATCGGTGGATGCTTCAACGGGTGTGGCAGCGTGGCTGGGCGCTGCTTGGCGCGTGGCGCGCGTCCAGACAACGCTCGCGCAGGCGGAGCACCACGTGGAGGAGGGTTTGCAGGATGCTACGCCTGCCGACGTCGAGCGCCACGCCAGGGAGTTGACTCGGGCCGTCCAGAAAGCGAACCACAACGCCCGCAGCACTGCCCTTGAGAAATTTCACGTTGGCGCTTCGCTGCAGGTGGCTGACGCCGTGAACTCTGCGAGCGACCTTGTCCAGAGGGTCGGGGCGAAGATCGTCGGCGCCCTGTGCGAGAAGACAAGGCTGGACTTCACGAACCTGAAGAAGAGCGCTGAGGAGGCGGCTGGCGTCGCTGAGTTCAAGAAGGAGTGCGACAGCTGTACGACTCTCAATGCCGCGCTCGACCTCTACCGCCTCGGTCTGCACGAGGCGCCCGTCAACGAGTGGCTCGACCAGACGTGCACCATCGAGGGGGCCTTGACGACAGTGGCGGGCAAGGCGACAGAGTACTCGCTGCCAAGCTACTCCACCGAGGCGACCGCAGGCATCACCGAGGAGATCGTGGTCATCCGCGCGCTCTGCATGAGCGCAGAGCTCCTGAAGGCGTTCGGCACGGAGTCGCTCCAAGGTAACAAGATAGCCATGCGCAACAGCTGCATGAATACCCAGTCCAAGCTCAGGAAGTTCGGCATCCAGCCCGAGTCGCTGCCGCGCGTCGTGGTGTCGCGGTACAGGGATGCGCTCAAGATGCGGTGATCGAGTACTGAATCAGTTTGCCTTCGACCCTGCTGAACTTTTGTGGGTACCAGGGCCTGCGACGACAGGCCCGCGCCCCCGCAGCGTGGCGACCAGCGCTGCGTCACGGGCCCGCCCACGATGGGGCGCGGTCGCGCGCGGCCGCGGCGCGGGGCCGCGTGCCGAAGGGTGAGACAGGATCTGTGGATGTAACACTGCCTGCGCCAGTGTTGGGAAATAGTATCCGTGATTTGTTCGTGCCCCCCTGTCTCGAGGAAGGGGGGCGTTGCCCCTGAGGTCTGCCTGATCAGGTGCGGTGCGCGAGAATGTCTATTCATATGTATGTTCTTGATGGTTGCACAGCATGCCCGTGCTTCCCATTGTGTGTCCTTCGTATTCGTGGGCTGTCGCCCTTCTCTGCCTGCCCCACACCCAAGGGTCTTGGAGCAATGGGTCGGCGTTCGGCGTCGGATTGGCCACTTGCAGGTGGTTTCTGTTGATCTGTATGGGGCGCGGCCGATTCAGGACTCGGATCTTGGAGCCCACTGTGTTTCGTTAAGGGCCTCGGTCTTGGGGCCCCGCGCTGGGTTTGCACTTCGGCGCGGGGCACTGGGTGACGGGCCTCGGCGTGAAAAGCCGCGGCCAGTATTTCAATGGGGGATTCCTTGCGGCCTCTGGTAGCGTGATTTGGGCATCGGGGATTGGTGTACAGGTTTTCTCTGGGGTTGCAGCCCGCGGACGCTACGGTGTCAGGGCTTCGGCTCTGTGGGGCCAGTGTTTTTGCTGCCACTTCGGGCCTCTGGGCTCTGGGCCCCTCTTGAAAGACTAGATCGGTTTAGTCTATTTCTTGTTTTCCGAAATCCTCCAGCGCAAGATCCCACCGTGCACGATTGCACCCGTTTGGGGAGGTGTTTCGGTAGCACCTGGAACAATAACACAAACACATTCGAAGTGGCCTTATCCACTTCTTACGATTGCTGCTGCACTCTGCCCCGAAAAGGTTCATCGCTCGCACAATGCGTGGGGCGATTGGAAAAAAAACATTGGTTTTATGATGTATGTTTAGATTATTTTCTGAGTATTCAGCATAGGCGTTTCCCCCCCCCCCCCCTCCTATATTTTTAGAGTATTTTTCATAGAATTATTGTTTTGCAGACTGTAGCGGTCATCGGGTAATATAACCCTAGGAATCAGGATTCCTAAGGATTCCCAAGGTTTCCTATGGATTCCTATGGATTCCTAAGGATGTTTTAGGATGCCTTAGGAATCCCGAGGAATCCTTAGGATTCCATTGGATCCTAAGGCCGTTGCCACTGCGACTGTCATTGCGAATGCGACTGCGACTGCGAGAACAGCAGAATTCTACAACTGGATTCTCATCTGAATCTGTTTATACACATCGCTGTTAGATTGCTTTGCCGGGATTATTACATATTACCTTTCGTTGAACGGCCAGTGCGAGCCACAGTAACTCCCATCTGGCCGCGCGACGGGCCACACTAACACCCAACGGGCACTAACACCCAATGGGCCACACTAGCAACTGGTCGCCCTCCCCCCCCCTCCCCCCCTCCCCCCCGCCTGCGGCCGCAGGCAAGTTGCTGCGAGAGGAGCGTTGCAAGTTTTCCATCTTGCCTTGTGCGCCACCTGTGGATATATACCATATATAAATGTTTTTGAGCCTCTGGCTGAGCGTTGGTATGCCCAGGCCCACATCAGCCCGAACGGTCCAGTTGCTGATTTGTGGGCTAATATCGCCGAACTCACGTGTGATAGAGCTCATAGCCAAGTAATTGGTCTGTTCACCAAAAGTCACCAGGATGAAAGTGACATTATAGCTGGCCGCTCTCTAAGCAGCGTTTTTTTGCCAACGCAATAGCTGACGGGCTGACATATTGCGCAGCGAACATGTGTGGGACCCCCGAGGCCTCCCGACACCAAATGGGCCTCGTTGAGAGTACAACCGTGCGCGTTAGGATGAGGGTCCGGAGAACTACGCTCGACTGCTTTGCTGCTCAGAAGGCTGCTGCTTTGGAGGCGAGGGATAGGACAAGAGAGGGGCCCCCCCCTCCCCCTCCCCCCTTCCCCGCCCCGCTGCTGCTGATTTCGCCGCGTTCGTGTCAGCTCATAGGTTCTCGGAGTGCAAGCATAATTGTCTGAAGTGCTTTGGCCTAGGGCGCCCTCGAGGGCGCGAAGTTATTCGCGCTTCGCGGTTCGGCTCCGATTCCTCATCCTCCTCTTCTCCCTTGGGAGGCGGCGCGAGAGCGCGAAGTTATTCGCACTTCGCGCCTCGCTCAGCGCGAAGCGCGAAGTTGGGAGCCCTTGTTTGGCTCGGCCACCCGTGACACTGCCGCCATGTGGTGGAAGTCTGCCTGCCTTGATCTCGTCGGCGATGATGGCGCCATCAACTCTCCGTCGGGGGAGTGTGCAAGAATCCATGTCGCGGGGGGCTGGCTGCACCCATCACGCCTCCTCAACTATCATGCCCACTAAAAATGTTTGGTTTTGTGGGCAGTGCGGAGGGACCGCTGACAAGCAACTGCGGTCCCTAGGCAAGCCATGGTCGCCCCCGACACGTACAGGACGTGACATGTTTGATCGCATAAAGAAAGGGTTTACTCCCAAAGTCCTGAGCAAGGCCGACCAAGCAAAGCGGCAGCAAGGGCCTTCTCTTCAACTTGGTCACCATCGGTACTGGCTGCGCCACTGGTTCCTCCTCCTCCTCCTCCTCTTCGTGCTCCTCCCTCCGTATCCATGTTAGCTCAATGCCATGTTTTGCTCAAGTCAAGCCCTGAGCCTCTCGGACTGGGGCCTGAGGCGGGGGGCACGTGGCCCGGGCCCCAGCAGTGAGGGCCAGTCGCCGGCATGAGGGCTGCGCGCGTCATCTGGGTCTCCCTAGCGCTCTCGCTGCTGAGCCCGCTGGTCTTCCCCGGGAGCAGTTTCTTTTGGTTCGGCTTGACGCAGGACCCTGGAGTGGCTGGTGGCGCCGTGGCCGCACCCCTCCGCAGCACAGCCGAGCCCCCGGAGGGAACGGGGCCCCGCCTGGTCCTCCAGGAACGGGGCCAGGCGCCAGGGGGGGGCCGGCCGACCGGGGGCCCCCCCGGGCAGAGCCGCGCCCCCGAGGAGGACCGCCCCCTCTCGCCGCACGGCCAGGCTCCGCGGGGGAACGGGGCCCCCACGGCTAGGGGAGCAAAAAGTGGCACAAACAAAAATTTTGAGGTCCGCGCAGATTTCTCGGATCGGCGCTGGACCCCCCTCCCTGGCGCGCGGAGCGCGCCAGGGGCGGCGACGGAGGCGCCGCCGGGGGGCCCCAGCGCCGATCCGAGAAATCCGCGCGGATCTCCGAGTTGTTATGTTTATGCCACCTCTTGTTCCCCTAACGGCCTCTCCAGAGCGGGGCCATGCCCCAGAGGAAGCCAGATCGGCCGTGGGGCTTCCAGCGCAGACTCAGGCTCCGAGACAGGGCGGGGCGCCAGCAGCCCCTCCCCAGCGGAGCGGGGCCCTGGAAGGAGGAGGCTGGGGCGGGCAGGCGCCCGCCCGCAGCTGGAGGGCGTGCAACATGACCTACACGACGACCCCGAAGGAGGCGATCTTCTTGGTGAGCGACTCGCTGAAGCTCACGTACGTGCTCATGTCCAAGTCGGGCTCGTCTACCATTCGGGCGACAATGGGCACTAAAACTAACACAGAGCCGAATTGGAACTACACGGTATTCACGGTGGTGCGGGATCCTTTGGAGCGGATCGTGTCCTATTTCTTCTATACGTACTTGGACAGGATTAGGAAGAGGCACGCGCTGCAGCTCTTCGACGAGGAGACTGCCAGGCTGGTCCACGGGCAGGCAGGCCATGCCCACGGGCAGAGGAGCGTCCCGCTGGGAGGCGGGCACCACTACGACTTCGTGGGCACGCTTGAGACACTCGCCGCGGACTGGGCTCAGCTGGGGGAGCTGCAGAAGCAGCGCTTCGGCATCCCGAACTGGCCCCCGCTGGCCCCCAAGGAGAAAGACAACGCCCAGAGGTACCGACCCGTCTTCACCGTCTCCACGCTGCCGGCCAATATCAGCCAGCGGGTGTGCAACATCTACCGCGACGACTACTGCTGCTTCCAGCTCCCGGTCCCCCCCGCCTGCCAGGTCGACTGCGCCGGCGGGCTTCCGGTTTAGGGTTTAGGCCCTACGGCGCAGGACTTGGGGGCTGCCGTAAGGGTCTCGGCAGGCCACGGAGGGCGCGAACCCGCAGTAAAACACGGCGCCCCAGCGATCCCCGATGCCGCGGAAATCGGTACCCTGGTAGACAGCCGAAAACAAGAATAGACACTTTTAGAAATTCTGAGCTTCCCGTTGAGGCGCTGTGCACACTGTATCTATTAGTATTCATTTGTTAGAAATAGACGCTTTTAGAAATTCTAGACGCTTCGCGTATCCCCACCAGCCCGTCCAGAAACGACGCCCAGGCGAGTAGAGGGTCGTGCTGAGGGGCTTTTCGGCGTCTTGGGTGCCTCGGGGGGGCCTCTGTGGGCCGTTCGGGATCCTCTTTGGGGCCTCCTGGGGGCCTCTTGGGGTCTCTTGGGGCCATCTTGGGGCCTCTTGGGGGTCTCTTGGGGGCCTCCTGGGGGCCTCTTGGGGGGCCTCTTGGGGCCATCTTGGGGCCATCCTGCGGCCTCTTGGGGCATCCTGGGGGCCTCTTGCGGCCATCGTAGAGGAAATCGATCAAAGAAGAGGGGAGCCTTAATTAGCGTTGCCCCCTGAGAAGGCCAAAATGGGGCCAAAACCATAGTAAAATCAATGTTTTTGGCTTCCTCGCCGAGGCCGTTTTGGACGCTCTGACCGCTCCCCGCCCCTCCTGTCCAGGTCAGTGGGGAGGGGGTAGGGGGAGGGGTAAACCCCTCCCCGAAGGGGAAGAGGGAGGGGTGGAAGAGGAAACTCGTTAAACCACCGACGCCCAGAGGGCTGGTGGGATTCTCGTGTTCCCGCTGAGGCCTGGAGTCATAATATCTAAAAGTATCTATTTCGGACAGTGTCTAAAAATAGTTGTGTGCAGCGGCTGTGTTGCAAAATTTTTGTGTCTATTAGTGTCTAACTAGTATATATGTTGTTTATATTTCTGAGCAACAGTATCTATTTTTAAAGCACGACGTGGCGACCATAGTAGAGCGGAGAAGAGCAGCTTCAAACAGTCCACGACATTCAATCGAAGGTGGCGTGGATGCGTGCACGTGAACGCCTGCATGGGCCTGTATGCGTGTGACGATGTGTGCATGTGTATGGGTGCGCGCGGAAGTGTATGGCGTCCGTGCGCGCGCGTGTGTGTGTGTGTGTGTGTGTGTGTGTTTGTTTGTGTGTGTGTTAGTGTGTTAGTGTGTGTATGTGTGTGTGCGCGTGTTTGTGTTGTGTTGTGTTGTGTGTTGTGTGTGTGTGTCTGTGTGTGCGCGCGCGTGCGCGCGTACGTTTGTGTGTGTGTGTGTGTGGAGGGCCTTGAAAGGCCCCAAGAGGGCGCCTGGGGTGAGTAAGCGCAAAGCTTCGAGTCATATGCACTGCTGAGGCCCTCTTGGGCCCCTCTCGGACCCCTTCTTCGGCCCTCTTGGGGTACTCAGGGGGCCCTCCGGGACCCTCCATGAATCTCGAAGGGCCCCTAGACGGTTCCAAGAGGGCACGAAAGGGTTCAAGGGGTGAATGAAACCACAGCCTCGAGTCATGTACACCGCTGGGGCCCTCATGGACTCCTCTTGGGTTCCTCTTGGAGCCAGTTGGGGCCCCCCGAGACCATGCTGGAGAGCCCCGAAAATGCTTTAAGAGGGCCCCCACGAGGGCTCCAAGGGGGTCAACCCCGGGAGACCCTTAAAACAAATAAGAGATCTTTTAAACAAATAAGGATATTTAAACAAATAGCGAGCTCGATGTCGCTATTTGTTTTTACAATCCGTTTTTTTTTGTTTTTTACAACCCGGAGGGCCCGGTAAAAAGACAAACAATTATTGTTTACGACCTCTTATATTTGGGTTTTTTTTATTATTATTAATTTTTCTTACAATGTTTTATTTTCTTTTACAAACTTTTATTTGCTTTTACAATGTTTTATTTGTTTCTTACAATCTCTTATTTTTTGGGGGGACCCGGAAGCCCCCGTAAAACAAATAAGCGCCCACTATTTGTTCTTACATTTTTCTTTTTACAACCCGGAGCTCGCCCCAGACCTCGAAGAACCTTAACCCGAACCTTAACCCCAACCCTAACCCGAACCCTCAACGCTAACTCTAAACCCGCGACCGAACCCTAACCCCAAACCCAAATCCCCACCCGAACTGTAACCCTTAAACCTAACTCTAAACCCTACCCCTGAATCCAACCCGAGCTCTAAGCCGAAGCCCGACCCCTAACCCAAACCCCGAACCCTAAACCCTAAACCCTAAACCCTAACCCTAACCCTAACCCTAACCCTAAACCAAACCCTAACCCTAACCCTAACCCGAACCCAAACCGTAACCCTAACCCAAACCCTAACCCAAACCCTTAACCCAAACCCTTAACCCAAACCCTTAACCCTTAACCCTTAACCCTTAACCCTTAACCCAAACCCTAACCCTAACCCTAACCCTGAACCCTAAACCCTAACCCTAACCCTAACCCTAACCCTAACCCTAAATCTCTAATCCTTCTAACTATTAAACCCTAAACCCTTCAAAACCGGCCGCTATGTAAGCCCCCCTCCGTCCTATGCAAAAAATATCATTTCCTGATCATGCGCTCAGAAAATATTTTTTTACAATGCAAAGTGGCCGGTCCGGGTCGCGAACCGGCATGTAAACCGGGGTTTTATATTGTAAAAAAATATAAACTTAACATTCTGCCTTTCAACATGCTCCATCCTTTGCAAAAAATATTTCATCCTGATCATTCCTCGTTTTTGATGTGTACTTTCCGTTGTAAAAATAATATAAACTCAACATTTTGCTCTTGCAAGATGTGTCCATGTCAGTAATGCATTGCAAAAAGTACGACAGAGTGCACATGCGCGCGGCAGCCGCGCGATCATGGCGAAATCCTTTGAAACACAATGTGTTTTCAATGTTTTTCAGAAGCGATATCAGCAAAACATATGAAAACATATGACTTTCTCATACCACAATTGTGCAGGATCGCCCTCCGCGTGCATCCTGAATCATTGAAAAACAAATGGGTTTTGCAACATTCTTGTAAATCGGGGCTTTACAAACAACTTTTGAGCGCACGGCGAACGGCTTCAACCAAGTCTGCGCGCGACCAGGGGCTCCCGCTGTCGGTGCTGGGCCCCGGAGCTCGAAAGGGGTTCGAGAACATCAGGGAGGAGCTCGTGGTGACCGGACGCTCCCGCCGGGGCTCCAATGGGCATCCAGGGGTTCCCAGGGGCTCCCAGCCCCAGGGCCCTAGGGGTTCTCGGAGGCTTCAGGAGCTTCCAGGGGCTCCCAGGGGCAGCCAGAGGCTTCACAGGGTTCCCCAAGAGTCCAGAAGCTCTCAGGGGCTATGAGTGGTCCAGAAAGGTTCCCAGAGGCCTCAAGGGGCTCCCAGATACTCCGTTGCTCCAAGGACCGGAGAGGGGCTCCCAGGGCTCTCGGGGCTCCTGTGCGGTCTCAGGGGGTCCATGGGCTCCCAGGGCCTTGCTAAGCCTCTTTGCTAAGCGCTTGCTATGCTATGCTATGCTATCAATCACGGTATAACATGAGAGGAGAGATGATCTTTATGTGGGGGTGGAGATGCGGGGGGGATTGATAGCCACCGCAGGTGAGTGCCTATGCAGGTAGGTATTCCTGGCCTTGCCCTGTTAGATCTTTATTCCTTATGATTATTAAACCCTGAACTCTACCACCCCATGCCTCCTGACGGTTGGTGAACTTCTGAGGTCAACTTTCCCTATGCAAAAAACATTATATCCTTAACATTCTGCCTTGCAACATGCTCCATCCTATGCACTAAATATTATATCATGATCATTATTCGTTTCTGATGTGTACTTTCCATTCTAAAGAACAATATAAACTCAACATTTTGCTCTTGCAAGATGTGTCCATGTCAATAATACATTGCAAAAGTACGACAGAGTGCACATGCGCGCGGCAGCCGCGCGCGCCTCGCAGCGCCTATCTGTTTAGCTATGCTATGCTATGCTGTGCTACAGCCACGCTGTAACAAAAGGTTCTCCAAATGTTGGGGTCCTTGCCTCCTTGCTACCTCTGCTTCGCTACGCTATGCTACGCTACAGCCACGCTATAACATCAGGTTCCTCAAATTTTGGTGACTTCGCCTTTTTGCTAAGCGCTTGCTATGCTATGCTATGCTATGCTATGCTACAACCACGGTATACCATGAGAGGAGAGATGATCTTTATGTGGGGGTGGAGATGCGGGGGGGGGATTGATAGCCACCGCAGGTGAGTGCCTATGCAGGTAGGTATTCCTGGCCTTGCCCTGTTAGACCCTAAACCCTAAACCCTAAATCTCTAATCCTTATAATTATTAAACCCTAGACCCTTCAAAACCGGTCGCTATGCAACCCCCCCTCCATCCTATGCAAAAAATACTATGTCCTGATCATGCGATCAGAAAACCTTATTTTTTACAATACATTGTGCCCGGTCCCGGTCGCGACCCCGTTCTATCCATTACAAAAAATACCATATCCTGATCATGCGATCAGAGAACTTTTTTTTTACAATACAAAGTGCCCGGCCCGGGTTGCAACCCCGTATGTAAACCGGAATTTTGTCTGGTAAAAATATTATAAATTGAACAGTCTGCCTTTCAACATGTTCCATCCGATGCAAAAAAATATTATATCCTGATCACTCTTCGTTTCTGATGTGTATTTCCATTGTAAAAAAACAATCTACACTCAACATTTTGCTTCTGCAAGATGTGTCCATGTCAATAATTCATTGCAAATAATTCGACAGAGTGCACATGCGCGCGGCAGCCGCGCGCGCCTCGCAGCGCCTATCTGTTTAGCTATGCTATGCTATGCTGTGCTACAGCCACGCTGCAGCAAAAGGTTCTCCAAAGTTTGGGGACCTCGCCTCTTTGCTACCTCTGCTTCGCTACGCTATGCTATGCTACAGCCACGCTATAACATCAGGTTCCTCAATGTTTGGTGACCTCGCCTCTTTGCTAAGCGCTTGCTATGCTATGCTATGCTCTGCTACAACCACGGTATAACATGAGAGGAGAGATGATCTTTATGTGGGGGTGGAGATGCGGGGGGGATTGATAGCCACCGCAGGTGAGTGCCTATGCAGGTAGGTATTCCTGGCCTTGCCCTGTTAGACCCTAAACTGCAGGCGCGGACCTGGGGGCGCGCACCGCCACGCCTGTAAGGATCTGCTAGTGAGAGCGAGCTGCAAGTCGAGCTCACCGCGACCATAGGCCTGC